TCTTTGTTATCCACAATAAGTCATTATGACCCGTTACTGGCCTTCTGTATTTTCTACCACCTCAAGATACAGTAAGTTCTTTCTTATTGAAGTATTGAAATACGACAGTTCAGTTAAAATCTTTGCGCATCTGAGGATGAGGAATTGGTTTCACGTTCTGTTGTGTTTCAGTTTCCGGAGTTTGGAGTTCAGTTTTAGCGAGGAGTCGCGTCTATGGTGGATGGGGTTCCCGGGGTGGTGGACCTCGGAGTAGCTGCTGGTGGAGTGTCGATGGGGCTCCCGGCCCCGCTGCTGGGCGTCACGGAGGAGCTCACTGCTGGTGTCTCTCCTTGCTGCTGGGCTTGGAGGGTCTGTCCACAGATGTGATGGTGCTTCTCCCAGTCCTTGTGCTGGCAAAATGAGCCACAGTATCGTGCTGTGTTGCAACCACTGCAGGTTTCACTAGCTTTCCGGCCACAGTTCCAGCAACTCTAGAAGCAAAATAGGAGGGAGATGGGAGAAATTAGCTAGTGTCCTAAATTTTACAGCAAAACCAGCCAGCAGGGAACTGCTGGTCAACCCTCTGCCTAAGGACAACTGAGCAATCAGTAGGTGCTACCTTGGGTACCTGAACCTGTTCCACAGGAGCTCAAATCACCTGGAGGACTCTGTCTCAGAAGCTGGGCAAGAACAGAAGTAGCTCTTTGCTAGTACTAATGGTGCAAACTCCAAGTATGCCCCACATCCAGCAACCAGCAGCATGCTGACTAATAGAAAGTTTCAGTAAAACTTCTGCTAGCTCCTCTTACAAATTTATTAAAACGAATAATGAAACATGCACACACAAAAAAGTGCTTCTCCAGAAGTGGAGAGGGACTAACGCAAGACAAAAAAGGGAAAAAATTACTTAACACACAGGTAAAACTTGCTGACCTAGGCGAACTTGCTACCCTAGGAAAACCTAATTTTTAATCATCTGAGTAATACCATTTGACTCAGTGGCACTTCTGGCAGTGAACAGTTAAGCTAGAGTCTAAATCTTTGGCAGGATGAGGAAGCCAAAGCAGAATATGTGTGCTATTCATTTTAACACATTCTATAGCTCTGCCAGCTGGATGCTGGAACACAGCCAATCCTTAAGTGATATTCCTCAACGACTTTAAAAATAATATCCCAATTCCAGAATAAAACAAAGACCTAAATCCAAAATAGTATTTTAAGGAAATTAGGCCTTTAATCAGCATCAAGTGACTTTATAAAATATTCCTGTGTTAGTTCCATATTCCCTCTTTTTGCTGGTTTTAGTTGTTTTGGAGGGTTGGTTGCTTTTTTTTGCATAGGCAAATGCTGGCAAATGGAGTAAGTGACTGTCCTGTGCCCAATTGTTCTTTGAGATTGAAATCAAAGGTACATGGCATTCTCAATTCATACTGATTAAACACATAGACTAAACCAGGTAATTACAGATACATGTGTTGTGGACTTTTTTTTTTTTTAATTCATAAAATTGTTCCCATCTTTAAAAACACTTAAAAAAAAATGGTGGAATTACCAACACACAGAAACAGATGTTTCTGGTAGTTAAATGTCAGGAATTCAGACTCCTTGTCTGAACCAGGCATCACCTGGTTTTGATTCAGTAGTCATTGTTTCAGGTTCATTTGCTCTCACTCTGTCCAGTGCTGGAAAGGTAAATCCACCTTTGGAAATTAATATCTCCTATTTGCAAACACTTTTCTTTAAACAACCTTTTATCTCCACAATGAAAAATAACTGTAAATAATTTAGACCACTGTACATGAACATGTACACACATAGACATATTTATGCATACACCAAAATGACCTGACAGTTTTGCATTAGCATTTTGTATTAGCATTTCATCCTAACCAGAAAGATAACTAAATGTGATGTACCTGGATTCTCCTTCTTTTGCTATAATAATATTTCCTTATTTATTTATTTTATTTTATTTTATATGTATCTAAATTTTATTTATTTTATATTCTTTAGTACATATTCTATTTCTATAATGCAATATTTCTTTATTTCTTTCATACTAAGGAAAATTTCATTTTCAGCTTCATGCTTGCTTGTATTGTGATCAGTACACATGGTGTAATTCTGGTCCAGTTGTACTTGCACAGTTTCCACTTATTGCCATGCCTGCTGACCTCCTAGCTATTTGCTTCCAGCTAAATGGCTAGTCTTGGGTTTGGTCCATATTTCCCTTTATTCCCTCATCTGAAAACAAATGCATGTGTACAAATATGCTGAAGCCAGCCAGCAACTGCCCAGGTGCAGGAATTCCTCCCCTGTGCAGATGTTTGCACCACTGTAGTTCATGCTTTAATTGTGTGGGAATTACTATGAATGTGTTAAAATTATTCAAGTATCTGCTTAGCAAATATAAGCCAGCATCTGAAGAATCTTCACTTTGCTTCCCTTTTTGAGGAGCACATAGAGATCTGACTCCAGATGTGACCAGAGTCACCACAGATATTTCAGCATCTTACCACATAATCTGTACTGATGTCAGGAAACAGTAGTTTAATTCTAACAGTATTGGTTCAACTTATTAAAATAGACATCAGTTAACTATCAGACTGTACAGAACATGAAAAGTGATACATAGGTGCAAGATTTTAATGAAGTGGTGAAGTACTAAGCTGGCTCCTTACATGACTACTTAATGTGTCCTACATTGTTTGGTATGTGATTTTGTTCATTGGACATATTATTTCTAATTTAACAGGTCATTACAGCTTTAGTGTAATTGTGGGAATAAAACCACATAAAATACAAGAAGTTCAAAATAAACTTTACAGTTCACATTTATGCAGCAACTAATTGCATTAAAAATTACTACAGTGCAAATTAACATAAACAAGCACACACATCACAGGGACCTTGTACTGAGACAGCAGCTGGATTTGACGTGCAGAACTCCCTGTCCCACACAGTCCTAACCATTGTGACCATTCATTGCTCCTTCCCATGTGCAAAAAAAGAGCAGCAAAGATCAGGCTCGGGCACCACAAGCTTTGGAAACAAATGCTTTCTGTTCACAGTGCTGGCTGATAGCCCCAAATTCTACCAAAGAAAAGCCAGGCTTGAGACGCCAGCTAATAGCCTGGGCTGTGTTTCATATGCCCCTGTTGCTCATGTATTTCCAGCAGATACAGCTATCACAGACAAAGCTTGATCTCACCATGGGATTGAACATAGGGTATCTTCCTTCCTGGGATGCTCTAGCAGGTACCAGCAAAATGGAGCACCTTCACTGAGGTGTGTACAGAGCACCTTGGACAACAAATGGCCACAGTGTCATGCTGGTGATGAGATGGCAATCTTCATACAAGGGCATATGACCACAACTATGGACTGCCTTACACTTGATTTATGACTATCTCCTATTGCTGGCAAGATCCAACTGGGAGCCCTATCAAGGTTAGATGATGCACTTCAAATACAGAAAATCAAGCAAGACAAACAAGACCTTGAAAGAACCTGAAGAAAGGCAGCCAGATAAATCAGAAGTCAGACAAACACAAGCTGTGAGAAGAGACTTGCAAACTTTGCCTTTCCCTCTGTCACCAGGGCAGGTGCTTGCCAGCATCTGGAACAACTGTGTGACACTTTGAAATGAACTCAGACTCTTAAATATGAGATGGTAGCCTAAAAGGGGCAGTAGCACCCAAACATCACTGCAGTGAATGTCTACACCCATCTCTAAATGGATAAGCAGAAGTAATGGGATCAAAATTCTGTTAAAAATAGGAGCAAATTGCTTGGAGGTGTTGGACAATCCCCATCACTAAAGCATAGGAAAAGCAGGGGGAATGGTACATCTAGAGTTGATCATGGATTGAAAAAGGGAGAAGCCAATTTCTCAAAGCCTCTGCTGGTCTATATATTCTGTTTAGGTAGTGACACTACACTGCACTTCCAGCTTATGTCTATAGAGTTCCAGATGTAGCTAAAACTACGAGAAGGACTGGATTGCAGTTTAACTCTGTGTTGATTTGCGTGTGAAACAGTGAGGTTATACAAAAAGCTAGATTCTCAGACTATTTAATTCAATTTAAGTTCACTACCTTGGAAATCGATTAATTCAATGAAATTGAGCTAAATTACACCAGATGGGAATCTCACTCCGAATTTATGCCACTGATCATATTTCATCCTCCTCTTTCAACTGACAAGGAACATCAGTCTCAGGTCAGAGCCTTATCTTAGGTCAAACTCTCAGTTCTCATGCACTTAAGCTTCCATCTTCAAACATTCCTGTTTGCCCTCATGAAAATGCTTAAAAACAAAAGCTCTCAATTTCTGTGGTCTCCAATACCAAAATATATACATGTCAGTAATTTTGCCCATCCTGTTGCTTTCATCTCTGAAATATTCAACCAGAACTGAGTATTTGCTTTCCTCTGACACTCCAACTGAGACTTCGTATAGAGCTTTCTTAAATTAAAAAACGAACAAACCCTTGTTCTGTCATCTATCTGGATTTCCCCAGTTTACCATGGAAGGAAGCATGGCTGGTAGCAGGAACTCAGATTTTTCCCAGTTCTGCAATGCCCATGACATTCAAAACTACCACTGCTAACCACAAGAAAAGGAACATCTAGCAATCACTGAAACTACAGGGGCATAAATGAGAACTACACGAGCTGCGGAATATCAGTGTAAAAACCCAGCAATCCAGCAAACTTGTTTATGAGAATTTTATCCATGACTGATTAGAAAGGGAAATAAATTGGTACTTTGGAAACTCCCACACTGTGTCAAAATGACATTCAAACTTCTAAATGTTTCTAGTAAAGTTACACCTATCACTGAACATTACAGGCTTGTCCAAGCTGCTGTTTATTGAGTGAAATACATGAACTTTCATACAAGTCAGTGAGAGTAGCTAAATCCTGCAAACAGAAGTGCAGAGCAGCCCACAGAAGAGCCATGCAAGCTGGCGAGCCAGGCTTAGCATCTGGGGCAGTGCCAATGCTCACATCACATCTGGACTGATCCTGTGCAGAACACATGGCTCTGGTGCCTCTGTACTTACTACCTACCACTGCAGGGGATGATGTGCTACTTTCCAAGAGATACTCTGCCAAAAAAATTAAACATTAGCTGACATAAGTATTAAATTTAATACCAGCATGAAAACTAGGCTTGCCTGAATCACACCATCTGATGCTCAGAGTCAGGTTTACTAACACGGTCCTGGTCTCAATGGATCGGTCAGCAAAGATTGAACCCAGCTGTCTTCAAAATGTCAGGTGTGATATGCACATACAACATGAACTGCTGCAATATAAACAAGCCCTAACATAACACATCTCCTAAAAGCAGAGTTGGACCAGTTACACACTTGTTTTATCTGAGCAGATGTCAGCATCTGCTTTAAGTAGAGAGAACTGAAACATTTGTGTTCCTTCCCTGTCACCAGCCCCCAGTCTACTCAAAACTGAGGGAGAACACTGAGTGTCAGATTTTTCAGTGGCACTTTATACCAAACCAGAAAGACAGATGTTTTGATGATCCCACTCCCCCTTATAATCTGGGCAGTCAGTCTCTTTGCTAAACTGTTCCCCCTTGCTATTAAAATTGATTTGCAAAGCAGCACATTGCAGCCAAAGCGAGCACAGCAGTCATTACAGAGTAGGCTGCTCACACATGTTTCTGTACTTAGCCAAGCCAACTACTGATGAATGGGTCATCTTTTGTCAAGCAACTGTAAGAAACTGGTAAAGAAATAATTTGTTGCTCAGAACAGCCATGCTGACAGGTAGGCCTTCTCCTGGTCCTTTTGCTTTTACAGCAGCAACCTGCTCAGTTAGCTGGTCCTCAACCAATGTCAGTAACAGAGAAGCGTGAACATTAGCTGGTCAGTTGCAATGCCTTATGTGAAGAAACAATGAAAACCCTTAGAAAGTAAATACTCAGACACTGAAGCAGTGGGAGTGCTAGTTAAACCATGCTGAACAACTCTAAGATAAGTAAAGAACAATAGTTCAACAAAGGATCAAGTCAGAGTCAGAAATTCTACCTATGCTATGTAATGTGGTCATTCTCAAAACCTTGCAAACCACTTCTTAAAGGTCAAGATGCTTCTGAATGTTGCACCTCCCCTATTAGTCTTCCTTACTGTCTTGTGCTCCCTTAATTTTGGAATTTTTATCTGGTCATCTTAATAAGCCAAGTTTCACTTTTTTTTTCTTGAAGACAATCTTGCACTCGGGGATCCTACTTTTTCTGGGTTAAAGCAGAACAGAATACCAAAAAAAAATCAAACAAAACCAGAAGAAAAAACCCAACTCAACACAGAAATCAGCAACACCAAAATAAATATAAAAAATCTGATCTGCTTTTCTTTGTGAGATCTCTGAAAGGTCTTGGATTAGGAGGCTGCATTATAATAATCACAAAAATCCTGAGCCTTGATACTAGTTATCACTTTGAGAACTGGAGGAGGCTGCAATAAAAACCATACCACAAAATTGTCACACCAGAACAGCTTCAGGAAGCCTCAGCTATGTCCAGGCTGCATTTTACTGAATAATAAATGAAGGGAGAAACCTTGCCAATAGACAGGGAGTGGCCATATCAGTTGAAAATTTTATCTGATACATTACAAATCTGGCATCAAATTCTCATCTCCATTCATAGTTTCAACAGCCAAAAGAAATAATGACACCCATGAGAGAAATACTGTCTGTCAGGAACTGCATGGAGGTTGTATAGCAGCCTGTAGTGAGCTTTCTTGCATGCCTTGGTGCAATGTCCCAGCAAGGATAAGGAATGAGGAGGAATTCCCCCTGGACCTGCAAGACTTCAGGGGCTGCACTGTAATAGTCTCAGATTTGAAACTGGAAATATTCTAGCTCTAGAAATTTTACTCTGGTGCCTTAAGTGCACAGGAATCTGTGTTGCTGTAAGTGTTTGCCTGAAAGCTGTAAACGGAGACAAGTTTATGTAGACTTACAACCTAGACAAATGAGGAGCAATGTCCATAGAGAGATCCAAGAGAAAATTAACACCAAAACAAATGTGGAGTTTTATTCCTCAAACCTGAAAAACACAGTCTCATCTCTGAAGAAACACTTTTCAAACACTGGCAAACTGATCTCCTGTCCCTAAACATGAAGGGAAATTCCAGTCCATTCTTACAAAGTCAGCCAAGAAGGAAACCAAACCAGCCTGAGTTACCAGGTAACTGTGAGAAGCATTACCCTAAGTGTTTGGAGTTTGTCATAATTAGAAGCCGAAAAGAAACTACTTATAAATAGATGCATCTAACTCAAACAAGTATTGCCATCATCTCCCTTCACAGTTAATCAATCATCTGTAAACACAAACTGTCAAACTTGATTTCTCTCTGATGGCTTACTAAAACTTGTGCCTCAGAACAGCCACCCTGCTGACCACAGGGGTGAAAGTTGCAGGATCACGACACTAGACCTCATTTCTAGGTCCAGGAGGCTTGTAACCTCTCTGAGGACACACAGCCCTGAGAACATCTATAACCTTATCAGCCACATTTCATTAGAATGCAATTAATAGAATTGTTTGCCTAAAGTCCTGTTCCCAAGAAGTGAAAAACCTTATAATCAGTTCTGCTGCTGAAGAAGTAAAGATGTTGTTACATGGCTTTTTCTAGAGCTTTAATTGCTCAGATGTTAATCACAGCACACAAACTCTCCACACATTCCTTTGGATACACATTTGCTTGTGGAAAAATGGGCTATACGTACTGGCATGTAAGTACTTCCTCTGTCCTGCTCATGCTGTTATCAGTTCACTAAATAGATTTAATTTGCTGTTTCCTCCAGAGGTATTTACCTTTGGAATTTTGGTTTTAACAATAGGAGTCTCTTGTATGTATACACACACAAAATGACAGCTCTTTAATGATGCTCTGTCAGAAAAATGCCCTTTCTACCAACAGTGCAGGAAAATGTCCCTGAGTATCTTAGATATAAAAGGCCAATAAATTGAATTTATGTCTCATTTAATCTACAATGGAACAGTTAGTACTTAGAGGGTACATATACTTCCCCTAGTCCCTTTCTTCCTGAGAAACTTTCAGATGCTGAAAATCAATTCCTTTTGTCTCCTTGTTATTCATCTGCTACATATTAAGGAGAAACTCTGGGCACTCAGTGATCCCACAATCGTCTTTCATCTCCAGAGAAGCCTGGTATGAATTAAAAACTTACGCTCCCTCAAATTACAGATGCATACTGCAGCATGCCACTGACTTATGTGCTAGTGATTTCTGCCAGTGTTCTCAGCATGCTGCAGGTAGCTCATCTGCATCTCTCAAATTAAGTAACTCTTCTACAACACTGCCTATCCAGTCCATGCAAAGTGTTTAGACATGAGCACATACAAATGTATGTCTCCATGTAACAGGGACTGTCACCTATTCTTTTACCCAACTCCCTGCTGTTTAGAAGTTATTTTTAAAAGTGGGTTTACTACAGGCAAGATGTTAGTATACAAACAATAAATACTTCATTAAGGTAATGCTCTTTCATTTCAGTGGTCTTAAGAAATGCAGATTATACACACAAATAACTTCTACCTTACAAAATTAATTTTCTTGTCATGTCTGTTTTAGAGGGCAGTTTTAACTTAGGACTTTTTTTTTTTTAAACAAGCATAAAATTTAATTGCTATCTAGGCTGATGCAGCACTGGTCAAACACACACTGTTCTTTCACTCCCAGCTTCCACACAGTCATGGTGTCAGATGTCCTGTATCATAACAATTCAAGGTTTCCATGCTCAGGTCTGAAAGTACATCAAGGCTTAACATATTTATTCTTGTTTTACTCTTTGATCTCTCAGTCTATTTTTTCTCCTACCAAATGCTCTTTGCCCACTACTCAACTCTGAAATATTCCCTGCAGCCAAAGTGATACACTCAAAATAAGGAAACACTTGCAAATTTACATTCACACTTTTTCCTACAGGAACCAACATCTTTTGCTAATTGCTTCTACATCCAACACTTTCCCCAGACAAGTTTTTAGCCACCTTGCTCTACAATCTCTTTCATGAATAATTTCTTTGTTTAAATTAAATTTCAGTGTCAAATGTTTTTCACTGAGCATCTTTTCATCTATTCAGTATGGTAGTTCGAAGATCTTTTAAATGAAGCTACTGAAAAGTCAAATTAGAACGTAAAATGTAACCCTGAGCAGCAGTTAAAAGGCGAGAAAAAAGCTCAAGTTCACTAGCTATTTTGGGCTCGGATTACAACATAGCCAAGAGAATTTGGAACTCGGTGTATGCCTGAAATACACATCCCAAAGCAGCTGTGCAAAGAGTTACTAGTGGGCTCTGACGCCCTGTGTCACACAGCCTATAGCCAGCTCAGACACACCTACGCTTCGCAGCCACAGGTGACACAGGTGACGCCGGCCCAGCAAGGCCCTTACCTCACTTGAATCCTCCTGCTGATTGATGACAGCCAGGGCATCCTCCGCCGCCTGGCGCTTGGCTTCGGCAACAGTGCGCTCCATCTTGGCCCTCTCGGAAGTGATCATGTCGTGAGCCTTCCGCTCGGCCTCCGACACGGCCTTCTGCAGCTCGGCCATGGCCTGCCGCTTCACTTCATTGACAGCTTCCTCTGCAAAGCAGGGGGAAATGGCATCAGCACAGCCCACCCGACACGGCTCCCTGGGACTCGCGCTTCGCTACTCTTGGCAGTACGTGGAGATCACTCCCAGTTATAACGACAGCCTTCCTTCCCAGTAGGACGCAGAGGAACCTGGCTCCTCAGGAATCCTCAAGAAGCTTCTTCTCCATCATCAAAGTCTCTACCACTAGTTCTGATTCCTGCTATTTTGATTCTCAGTCAGTACATCTCTAGGTATGATTATTTCAGATCTCTGGTCCATTTTATTTGCAATCTTTTTGAACGCTGAAAAATTAGTTTTGCTGCACAGCAGATATATGTATGTACTTGACAATAATTCTTATTTAAGACACATTACAGACTTTTTAAAAAGGGTATTTTTAAGCTTAGGGAAGTTAAGAAAGGATTTATGGTCTTTAACAAATATTTTCACATATGTAAACAAATAAGCATATGAAGTTAAAAAAACCCCAAGAGTTTGCTTCAAAATTTTAAATCACTGGTCTAACATCTTTTTTTTGGACACATTGTTTTATGATAAAGAATTAAAATTTGCTTATGAACATTCATTTGACCTCTTGATTTGTCCTTCCAAGTCCATGTTTATGCTTGAAGACTTGACTTTCTAGCTCTTCTGAGCTCTTCATCACACCCTGCCTAGCAAGACTTTGGAGCACAATTAACACTGAGCAGGAGCACCCCAGTTCATTAAACTCAAACTTTTATGCTTCCTGTAAAACAACTATGGTAGTATGAGTCCTTTCTTTGGTATACACTAGTGTCGTATCTTTTATTCCAGAAAACATGGATTGTCTCAAATTAGTTATTTGGCTTTTGATGAAGGAAGAGTGCAAAGATTTTACTAATGAACAGTCTTTTAATTGACAATTAAAACAAGTAATTTCTTTTTTTTTTTTAATTAACTGCTCTAATTAACAAGGAAACCATCCTCCCCCTGAATTAGTTTATCTAATTTTCATCTTTATTCAAAGCAAAATGACAATGATTAATTGAAAATTTAATAAGCGGTAATTATTAACTTGGCAAACCTAGTACCAATTAACACTCTATTAAAACTAATTATGACATGTTTCATTCAAGTGTTTGCACTTAATTGTTTCATGCACTTAAAACCCACCTTAATTAAATGTTCTGTTTAATTAAAGCCACAGATTTCTATTAAAAATGTTTTACTGTAGATTAAAATCTAAGTACTAGAACGGTGTTATGTGTTTGAGTTTTAGTCCACGTATTTAGCCCATGTACTTGTGTGCACGAACATGAAGACACAACTCTGATGTAAAGATACTCAGTCACTCCCCTGAGTTACATCTAATAGCTCTACATGTGTTACTTAAAAAATAAGGTCTACATGAAGTCTCCATTGTCAGTTATTAAGCAAATTACAATAAAGACTTAACTTTAAGCCACGTAGTGACTAAAACTGAATTAAAATCAAAGAAGAGCTCTCTTGAGGAGTATGTGTGCATGTTATACGTGTGCATATCTGCAAGAGATGTTTCAACTAAAGTTTTCAAGGGGGTGGGGAGGGATTTAGAGATAAAACTTATGCCTTATTTTTATGAGGCTGAAAATATGCCCTTATATTACCCTACCATAAATGTTGTTTAGGGGAAAGCCTCAGGAGAGGAAAAAATCATACCCTTCAACCATACAGCCAAGGCTTAATTTACTTTGAATATTCAAGGTGAATTAAAATTCAATCTAAGTGGCAATACAGGACAATAATTTTTGCTTACGATCAAAGCCACAGCTACTCTAATTGTATATGCAAATAAGGCAATTTATATTTAAATTATGCATTCCTATTCTAGTCCCACAGGCACACACAGATCAGCAAAGGGAATTGGTAGGACATTTGCAAGGTGCTTGAATATTTATTACCAACTGTAACCATTCACTGATCACGAGAAAAGAACTATACACAGGCAAACATACAGATGCAATTTTATTACCATTTTCAGAAAAATGAGTCAACTTAAACACAGGCGTTGCATGTCTGTGAACTGCAGTTACTGACAAAGTAGATTTCTTTATGAAAATCTGTATTCTTGCTGATATTTGCTACTAATAGAAATGATCTTTGTATGACATGATGCACTTTGTTATATTATATAAATTTAGTTTTACAGTTAGGTGTTTGCAGTGGTTAGAAATGCCGGTTTTTTATATTAAACAGAAGCAAAATGCTCCAACATTTTTACATGGACTTCTAACTGTAGTTTTTCATCCCAGATAATGTACTTTTTTTTCAGTCCAAATATAGAAATTGAAAATTATATCTTCTACATTGCATAAGTTGTTTGCAATGCTTCTAAGAGCATGAGATACCTGAAAGTTCTTATGAAGCCATATGCCTGACTAATACTTTTTGGCTGGCTTAAACTTAAGACTGGATTTTAATATTTCCATTAACTTTGGTGACAGAATTTGTGTTGTGCTATCCTAAGCGTGAAAATAAGTAAGTTAAAATATGTTGGGTCATAATGCACCATCATTATTTCAGTATATAACAAACTCATGAACACCTAAATAACCAGACAAAATTTTGTATAATTGATCCTCTTCATAGCTTCTCAAACTAAATACTACTGATGTTTTATAGAAATAGAATGCAAGCTTCATAGTTTAAGATATGTTTGTGATATGGGTGATGGCGAAGGAGATTTTTATTTGTCTTGACAATGCTGAGCTATGAAGACCAAAAATGATACCAGCACCCTTCCTTTCCCTGTGCTCCCAGAGAAAGGAAGAGTGATTAGATTTGAGTATGAGAAAGCAGAAATCTGGACGTTTTTAAAGACAAGTATCTAAGATGCATGTACCTGCATCCTCTGCCTTCCCAGCAATGCTAAGTATTCTTGGCACAAATTCACTGTCATTTTAGGAACGCAACTGAAATCTTCCTTCACTTTGAGCAGCATTAATACATGAGAGAAGATCCAGGAAGCAAACAGCTTGAGTGGAATAGGTATTACCCAGCATGGTCTGAAGTACTTGGAGAAGACTTAAGAGAGGTACTTATCTTTCACCCAAAATGATGATTCATCAGCCAGCTCCTTGTCACCTCCCTCACATCATCGGCACATTTGTCCACATGATGAGAAAAGAAAGGTGGGCAGATGTGCGGTCCTGTGCCACCACAACATTTTAGATCATCTCACTCTCAGACTGACCCTGGCAAGGGTGGCCATTGGAAGTTGATGAGAAAGAGTTATCTTAGAATCATATTCCAAAATGCATCATCTGTCTCAGGACTACTCTGAACAATATGCAGGACCCTTAATTGTCTTTTTAATGGTCATTTCATTCCTCTTCTGTAACTCCAGAGCTTTCAGCTGGACTGCCATGGATATTGGGCCTGGCTAAGTGACAGGGACAGCTGGAAGACAGGTACTACATGACACAGAAGAAACTATTGCAGCAGCCCACAATGGGCCTGCGACCCTTTCTGTATGTAATAAAGGGAAGTATGTACTCCCAGAGAGCAAGTCATCCAACCTGTGATCTGACTGATCCTCATTACCGGCCTCCCTCCCTCCCTCTTGACTACTGAGGAACACCAAGAACTTGTCTTGGACTCTTCATCCCCATATCCGTAATTCAATGAGGAGAATCAGGGCACTGATGACTGCTTTCTACTGGTGTATGAAACTGAAGTGGGCTTCGATGGCTTTAACTCATGAGATACTGCATAATATGTCTTTGCTCAGCAATCACAAAAGCACATGCCTAACTTGGTATATTTCAAGAACTAAACTGGAGTCTGACAATCTCCAAAAGCTTAAAGTGTATCCCTTCTCCACATGCTTTTGAGTTTGCTTATTAGCTGTTTTTATGCCATATTCTTTCAGTGTAATGGATTTAGCATTCCAAATAGAATTTCATACTAGATTCAGCTCTCTGCACATTGGTCTTTACAGACATTTGACACATGAAGAGATCCACACTGAACCAAAAGAAAAAACCTATGAGGGATTTGTGGTCTTCTTGACTGGGAGCTGGTCCCCAACCAGGAAACTATGGAGCATCTCAAATGGCATCAGAGGCCTATTCTCACAGAGCTGAATTGTACCTTTACTGCCTTCATCATGAAGAACCATGATTTATGAAAGCAGTATGCTTTCTGATGTTTGACTAGACTTAGATACAGATATGCATCCTGCAGAGTCACACTTCTTTTATTCTCCAATTCACCAGCAAGATCACTTGATTTAAACCCACACCACCCTGAAAATAAGAGACTGGAAATGGCACCAAAGGAAAAGCTTTGTTTCAAAGGAACTGATGACACAGATGTTCACAAGATGACGTCACAGGTCCTGTACACTACACTATTTGTGAATATATGCAGTGTGAATGCACATCCAATTTCATAACTCAAGCCAAAAGCTTCAACTAACTTGTGTTAATTATGAAGAAACTTTTTTCTTTCATTGTATTGAATCCATGAGTCATAAATAACCGGATGCCAAATGACATCAAACCCTAGATTTTGCAAGAGGACTAAGTTTTTTTAAATTCAACAGAATAATGCTTTCTCTTAGTGACATTTCCTGGGATTGCATATTTTTTTGTATTTTTTTTCATTTAAAATGTAAACATAAATATGGGAATATGGAAATATTCTTGAGCACCGAGTTACAAAGCTACATTTTCCTTGGACAAAACCAAGAACATGTACACTGTTCTACTATTTTTCACAGAAAATGCAATGGCTCTAAAAACATTAACATACTGACAAATGTAGACTTTATACGATAAACCCATATTACACACAAACACAAACTTCTTGTCTGATGCACCAAGATAACAGCATGACATTTTTAGATGTATGCTGTGTATCTAGTTTAAAATACACTGCAAAGAACAAGCATTTAAAGGAGATTTGATCAGAAAGCATCAACACTGCTGCATATTTGCCATTTAATCATTAACTTCTGCTCAGACAGCTGCTGCAGACTTCATGGTTATACAGGTGTTCAAAAGCAGGGGGGCGTGTTTGGGTGTATAAATAGCTCCTCAACTATCTCCATGGAGTTCAAGAGCTGCCTCCTGGCCCCTCTGAAAACAAGGAAGCTCTGATGTCAGTGTCAAAAGAGCAAAGGTTTAGCTGCAGCACCAGAGTGAGATCCCTGCCAGGGAACTCTGTGCTCAGGCAGAGTTTCAGTGTTAAGAAAACTTTGCACAACCACAGTGTCTGCCCAGGGTGCTTTCCAGGCACAGGCAGATGCTGTCAATGCCCTGCAAACAGCCCGAGCAGCTGCAGAGATGTGAACTTGCTGACTTCATTGCACACTCTGCAGGTTTATGAGCACAGGCTTCACTGGGGGCTGACAGGCACAAAATCTTTTTTAAATTAAGAATGGTTACTTTGCATAGTTGAAGTCTTTTTTTTAACAGGTGTACTTGGGTTTCTTCCCCTCCTTTGGGAATTCTTACCTTAACTAGGTAAGAACCCTGAAGCTTAAATAAAACCACCCACACTACCCTCTTTTTTTTTAATTGCTAACAGACAAACTTTTAACATATCAAGTTTCAGCCTGAAACCATTAGATGCCCTGAAAATAGGGGTCCATATTGGAAGTACTGATATTCCCCTAACTATAGCAGCAGATGCTTCTATTATAAAATTATTTAATGTCCCGATCAGTTCCAGTTTAAGATTATTAAACAAAATTTCTTCTTGTTACTAGTAAGCCCTTCCCCCGCCTCCCAATTCCTCACATCAGTGCATTAACAACTGCACACAGCTGCCAGATGACTAAGCTGGTGTTTTTAAACAGTTCTTACCAGCTTTCTTCCAGATCTCCTCTGGCACGTATCCAGATGCAGGCCTGTGAAGGAATTCCCGATGAGATTCTGCAGGAGGAGGGGGTGAAGAGGGAAAAAGAAAGAGCATCATAAGCAATGCTGGCTTCTTGAGAACAAGGCTTAGAGAAAAGTACCTTTTCTCTTTAATTATAGCTCAGACAAGGAAATTAAGTGAAGCTTTTCTCTCCTCAAAACAAAACGGATGCCATGGCTATAGCTCATGAATGTCACATAGACCAGATCAATGCTTATGACTTGGATGTCTCATCTTAAGCCAAGTTAAGATGCTCGTTTTATTTTTATTTTATAGTGTTTTGAGTCAATTCTGTATGACAGTATCCACACTTTTAAGGGAGGCTTTGTGAGACAAACTGAGGGAGTGACATGCTTTGTCCTTTCTCATTGTACTTGTGAAAAGGAAAAAAGAAAGAGGGCAACAGTGCAAGTTTGGCACTTCTGCTCTGTGCAAAACAGAGTACTGATAAGTGCAGATAAAAGTCAAGATGCCATTCCAGTGATCAAATAAGTTGTCCACAGAAAAGCAAAGGGGTGTTTCTCTAAGTTCACAGCTATGCTTTCCTATATCTGAGCCCATGTTGGCAATTGTAGCTGCAAGAGTTTGAAAAACAGAACCTTTAACTTTAGGTTAAGCCCCTAAATACATGCTGCCAAACAGCCTCACTGGAGCTGAAGCTCATAATTCACCCACATATTTCAATCACATTTTGACAGCTCTTTCCCATTCTCCTCTTTTTTTTAAAAAAAAAGGTTTAACCTTTAGCCTGGGCATAAGAGCTCTGAAATCAGCAAGATCTCTTCCACAGGGACTTCAAAGACCTAAGATCAGACAATACCAAAAGAAAATTCACTTTGGCCTGAAATTTAGCATACAGATCCTCAGCAGATGAAAACTGAAACTGCTCCCTTCAAATACAATTTAAAAATTTATTAACTATTATTCAAAGTAATAGAGGACAAAATGAAATAAACCCAACCAAACACATACAACTAAGCTCGCTGCCATGATTACTATTGCCAGTGTGTCAGAATTCAATTGCCTAAATAAAATAACTTGATTTGCTACATTACAGACAGGTTTGAATGTTTTTGGAGATTCTGCTAGAAATCAATTACCTGTTTGATGTCTAAATATATAACAAGAGTATATCTGCCATTCTTTGAATACTAATTTTGACTAAATATTTTCATTTTTCTATCTTAGGAGCTTTTATTCACTAACTAGGTCAAAGGTCAGTAATTTTAAGAAAAAGGTTGAAACATCAGGTTTTGCAAGTAATTTCTTATACCACTACATGTATCCATATAGTACTGTTTACATATAGTAGACCACATAAACTTAAATGCTTTTAAAAGATGAAAACAAAGCTAACAAAGGTAGAGATGACAGGCTTTTTCAATAGAGAGTAGGGAATCCCTATCCCTGTGCACTGTTTCACATATGTAGTTTCCAGCATGAGAATCTGCAGACAGTGACTGGGAGTATATCTTGCCATCTGACAGGCAGCTGAGTGGATTTACCCAGCTCTTCTGTTTGTCACTGAAGTATGGAACAACAATTTAAAATAGATTTTTGTCGGCAGACTTTCACACCTCTCAAGCACAAAATAATAAGACTGTGTGTGTGTGTGTAGATTTTGCAAAACAGCTATTTATATTGGTTTAATCAACTTGATAAAGGATTTCAGACCTGATACCAAAAGTGGGAAAATTCTCGGTTTGGCTTGGCTTGGCTTGCAGGACTCTGGAGATGACAAATAGCCTTGTGTACAGGTTTCACCCCTTAAAGGCTTTTAGACTTACAGGCACAGTGCCAGTTCAGTTAGGGAGACAGAGGCAACAGCAGAAAATATTGTTTGACGGCTCAAGAAAAATCAAGTAAAAAACTTAAACCACTTTTATTTGCTCTTCATGGAATACCTGGAGGAAAAGACACAACCAGGCTCCAAATGTGGCAAAACAAGGGATTTGTTGCATTCATGTCTTTACTTTATATTGTTTTCCTGTCTGCTACTTAAGGTACCATCTAGTGCAAGGGGAGCATAACCTTGTTTTAAGTCT